CCAGCCTTAGTGGGTCAGGCTGCTCCTATCCACCACCTTGAGACCTAGAGCTCTTCTACTCTATCTTCCTGAAAGCTCTGGATAGCTGACCTACCAGAGACAAAGGGCAGAACCAATCTGGCCAGCCCAGAACAAGGGAGTCACCAAGACCCCAGCTTCAGAATTGAGAAAGGCCAGGCTGGTCAGGTGCCAGGCTCACTCAACCTGGGCCCCCTGCCCTGTCCTTCCTTGTGCCAGGTGCTGGCTGAACAGACAACACTTCTTTCTCTGCTCCTGATTTTTAGTAGGGAAGTGCAGGTCCCCAGCCAGGCTGTGTCTCTCCTGGGGGCTTCAGGGAGGTGCCAATCCAATCTTCTCTAGAGACAGGGTGAAGACAGTGGTGGGCCTATGCTCTGCACCCTTAATTGGCAGTGAAGAGGATTCTCCATTTCCTTGACAAAGCTTTGTCAGAGTGAGAAGTCCCTTTCCAGAAGGAGCAGCAGCCACTCTTGCCCAAAGGTGATGCAAAGGGAGGGGCACATACCTGCCCCAGTTATGCCAGGAATGTGGCTTCCCAGGCAGAGGACCAGAGGAGCCTTTCTGGGGGGTGGGGGAGGTGCTGGCTGGCTGGGGGTGTTCCAAGAGTGAACAAGAGGTCAGAAGTAGCCCAGATTTCACCCAGTTCCCAGTGTGGTGTGGTATAGGTGTAGGGGACCTGGAGTCAGATTGGGAAATCAGATTAGAGGGATGGGCTTGTTTCCAAGTGTGAGGACCTAGGATGAGGCTCAAAAGCCTCATCACCTACAGGTCAGGAAATAGACCCAGCTTTGGAGGGGTGGGCAAGAAGATATTTCATTTCCATCCTAGATCCTAAGCCCTAATGGCTCCTTGGATGTTCTGACCTTGCCTTAGAACCCAATTTACCCACTGTACTCTGGTCTGCTTCCAAAACAGATCCAAGACACCATTTCTTCAAGCTTCTTACAGTGGCGCCCCGGCTCCTTGTTCTGCCCCACCCCACCTTCTACATACCTTAAAACATCTCTTCAGCCTCCTTGGCTCTATCTATGAGTCTTTAGTCCCATATCTGCCCCCCTCAATACAGAGAGAGAGAGAGAGAGAGAGAGAGAGAGCGAGTGAGCTACTCCTGGACTCTCCTCTGGTAAAATGCTGGTCTTTGAGTCTTCAGAACTAAGTATCCCTAAGGGTCAGCCATATACAAGTGCACAGGAAGGGAGGCCTTCTTTCCATGATTCTTCTTCCTAGCTGTACTGCTCCAAATTGGGCTCTACCGAACCAAAGCCAGAGTGTAGTGTGGGCCTAGCTGGCTTTGGTGAGATGATAAATCTTGTCCTGTCACTCCCTACCATGACCTCTGATCTCAGAAGTCCTCAGTTACTGAGTCATGGACCCTCAGACTACTAGATCCACCCAGCTATTAATGATTCACCCTCTTGATCTTGATCCTTCTCAGCCCCCTACTCAACCCCAAGTTGACATATCTATCTATCTATCTTTGGCCTCACATATACATTCTCCCCTGCCTTTCCTGCCCCCCAATTTTCCAAAGCACAAACTTCCATAGCAGTGCTAGAATCTCTGGTTCTTGTCCAGATAGGTTCCCCATGGCAAGAACCCAGGAGCTGACCATATCTGGCTGAGAGGCCACAGAGTTTACATTCTGGACCTGACCCTCCTACACTCAAGGTCAGCATGCAGACAGGGTTCTAGAGACACCCCTCAAAAGCCCAGCTAGCATCAAAGCAGAAAGACAGGAGAGAAGTCTTCAGGGCTGGCAAACACATCACATCAGAGGACTAGAAGTCATAACCCTTGCCACTGCTCTGAGAAGGAAGTTTCTGTCCCCAGCCCTACATCCCTTTCCAGCCAGCCATGAGGGAACAGACAGGATGTAGTAGCAGCAGCGAGAGAAAAAAGCATTCTTTACCACATTTCCCCTCAAAAGTCTCAGTCACCAAATGGGGCTGTCCTGAGGAGGAAAGAGGGGAGACCTGAATGGTTACCTTCTAGAGGATGGCAGCCCAATCCCACAGAGCTGTTCTTTACAAACTGTGGGCCTCTGGAACACACAGGCCAGTCCCCCACTGTCCAAACCCCTGTGCCTAGCCACAGGTGTGTACTCAAATGTATGGATCAAGACAGATGTTTGGACTTCTGTAAGGATAAGACAGGTGGGTCCCAGCTTGTTCCATAGCAAAGTGCCTTTCAAAGGGGAATGTGAGTGCTGAGGGAAAGGGAGAGAGAACAGAGATACCTGTCTCTAGCCAGGGCAGCAGCTTATTTATGGCTCCAAGACCAAAGACAGCTAATATAAGAGGTGAGGGTGTCTAATCTGTGTAGCTAGAGATGTAGCCAGGAGCAATAATGTTGCATCATAGGTAGGTAGCAGGATGGTTACTCTCCTGCCCCATGGCAAACTCTCCTCTGTAGCCTGTCCCCTCCCTCAGATCCCATAAAATTTCTGTTACTATCAGCAAGGCACTGGCCCTCAAAGGAATACCCTCACCATGCACGCACCTTCTACACAGAACTCCACCTCTTCCAGGTTCCGCAAAGTGATCCGCATAAGGCTGGAGTTGAGCATCAGTTCATTCTTGTGGGCTGGCCACAGGTAGGGTGGTGCTGGGTTCACAAAAAAGATTCTAGTGTCTCCAGTGGACACCTGGTTGTCACAGATTAGGGGGTCTCCGAAGCCACCAATCACCACCTTGTTGCCACCTTCCAACAAACTCTCCTGGGCCACCACATCTTTGCCTTTCAAGTACCGCCACACTCGAACCTGAGTGGACATGAAGGTAAAAGTGTATTGGTCCTACAGGGATAGGGTGCCAGACTGGATACCTGGGCCCTATCCCCTCCTCTGTTCTCACTTGCTCAAGCCAGTGTCCACAGTGGACTCCAGCCTTGGGCAGAGATGTTCAAAGTTCTGTGACTCAGCCTCTCAGCAAATGCTGCAGGGAAGTAGACACCTACTGGATAGGGGATGACACATAAGAAGGCATACCACCTAACCATACTCCCACCCTAGGTCTAACCAGCCCAAGTCCAACTACAAGGGTCCATCTCAGTCAGGGCTTATCTGGCATGCAGTGCCAACATTCTAGACCCTCTAGCTCACTACCACTCAGGACCAGACACTTCAGATGAAGGGACTTAAGAGCAAGATCCCAGCTGGGATCTTCACAACCCTGTGTGTGGGCTGATACCTCCCCCAGGAAGTAAAGACCCACTTCTTTGCTCCCCAGTCTGCCTGAGTCTGTACAGCCAAGGCAGCTCTGAACCACAAAGTCAAGTTTGGGCAATGCAAGTCGGCCCCACCCTCTACCTTCTCCTTTGGGGCCCTGAGGGCACCCCTCTGACAGACATGGCTGGAGGATGTAGCCTGCAGCACCCACAGGACAAGTCAGGAGCCCAGACACTTTTTGGAAAGGAGTTCTAGCACCCCTTCTTCAGGTGCTCTGGGGGTTTAGGCTTTTGGAATGGAGGGAGCAAAAAGACAATGGGCAGTTTGTCCACCTGCCTAGCTCCTGTTAGGCACCTCAGAACTGCAGTACCTACAGGACTTGAAGAACCTCATTTACCTGCCTCCTCATCCCCCCCACCCACCCCCACCCCCTGCAGTAAACTATTGAGGGAGATATTCCAAACAGGGTGGGGGAACTCACAGTTTTCACACCTCCCCCACCCCAGCCACACCCAGGATCAGCGGGGAGGAAGTCGGGAAAATCCTGCAGGGACTTGGCAAAGTGCCTTGGCAGTGAGAGGAGGGGGCCCAGCCGGGGGAACCCATGAAGACACGCTACTCTGAAAGAAGTCACCGTCCTTCCCATCCCCAAAGAGCAAGAACGATCCTATTTCCAGTTAAGTGATTTAAGGGGCTAGGAGAACCAGCAAAGGTTCTGAGGGTACCCACTATACCTATTCCAAGGTGCTCTCAAATCCAGCTTTAGTTGAAGCAGAGCTGACTCTTCTACTGTATTGTAAGAGAAACCCAGTTCTCCCAGAACGGAGCACCTGCCCCTGCTCCCTGTGCACGGGAGACTCAACCATGGCCCATCTCTCTGCTCTTGCTCCACCGAAACCCAGTCATTGCAGCACCTTACGCAGGTTCCTCGGACTTGTGGCTTAGACTACGCACCCATTCCTCTCTGCGGACCACCCCTTCTCGCCCTGGTAGAGGCCTCATCACAGTCTGAGTCCATCCCCACTTCACACCTCCCCAAACTCTATTCCTTTCCTTTGGCGAGGGTGTACACTTGTTTCCAACGAGAGGGGCTTTGGACAAGGGTGGAGGGGGGGCAGCCACTACTGCAACTAGGGCCTGGGCACCGTGAGAAGAACCACAGCGGCCCCGCAGTAACTTTCGCCCTGAGCTGCAGAGTTTTCCGGGACCTGGTGCCCCACCCGCAAGCTTGGCGGTCGCCAAGGGAGCTCGAGCTGGGGTTACAGAAGCGTTCCGGTCTCGTTCCCACGGCTTGGGGCCGGGGTCCCAGCAGGGCGGCCGGCACGCGAAGGGCGGGCCTCCGGGCTGGGAACCACGGGGAAAGGGCCCCCGGCTGGGATTCCAGAGGGCTGGGGTCTCGTGGGGTCTTGCCGGGGCCCACCTTGCACGAGTACGTGTGCTGCACCGGGTCCACGTTGAGGATCTCCTCCACCGTGCCGGTGAGCACCACATTCGCCTCCTCCTCGCGCCGCTCCAGGGCGCGCTCCGGGCACGTCCCGCTGGCGCCGGGCAGGGTGCGCTCGGCCACCACCAAGAGCAGCAGCAGTGGTAGCAGCGGGGCCGGGCAACACAGCCGCAGGCTGGCCATGGCGCAGCCTAGGACGGCGGAAGGCGGCCGGGAGAGCGCGCGGGATGGACCGTTCAGGGGGCAGGACAGAACTGGACCGCAGCGGAGGAGGTGGGAGGGCGGACGGCGTGGGGGCGGGCCAGGGGCGGGAACTGAGCAACGCCGCCCCTCCCCCTGGGAGCTCAGCCCGCCTCCTCTCCCTACGACCCGCGCGGGCAGGGAACAAAGCCCGGAGACTGCGGCGCCGAGTTGAGGCTGGGGCCCCGGCCGGGTGGGTGGCGGGCCGCCTTGGGGGAGGGGAAGGTGGGGCGCCAGGCGCCCCTCCCCCGTCCGCCCAAACTGCCCACCCACCAGGAAATGCAGCTGAAATCAGGTTAATATATAATCTAGGAGCGACGTGCCGGGGCGCCGGGAGCGGCAGGGCTTTCTGAGTAGGAAAGACTACCGGAGCTGGACCTCCGGTTGCCCTTGAGTCGGCCCCACAGCGGGATTGCTCACCGAGCTCCCGCACCAGTACGGGGCCCACCGTAGGGTCTAAGGCGGCCCAGTAGCGCTACGCCCCCTGCCGGTGGCCTTTCCGCGGTGACTGGTCTGAATTGCGCTCAGACCCGCCTACCTGCCCTCTGGCTGGGTAGGGCAATGGGATGCCCCTTGTCGGCCTATGGCTACCTTCTCTTGTCTTGCTGCGGAACCTACCACGACCCCGCTTCCTTCCCCTCCCCGTCTGTGGACTAGCACATCTCCAACTTGGCCTGGCTAGGTACAGGGTATAAACTGAGGCTCAGGGAACGCTGGATCTGCAGAAGGTTGAAGAAAAAAAGAAAAGACTGCTTTCTTTTCACAAGACCAGGGTTGCTGTGCCTTTGAACCAGAAGCTAGAGTAAAGTGTGGGTGGCAGAAGCTCTTCCTCCTGAGAAAGACTCTACCACCAGGACCCTGGCAGGCTTCAGGGAGGGGGGTGGTCCGTGAAGGTTTGAGGTCACATCTACACAGTGGACACCAGCATTGCTAGATCTAGGGTCACCTTACCCAGATATGCACAAGAACACCAACCAGAAATGGGGGCTTCTGAATCTCCACTCAAATTCTCTTTAAAGGTCTAAAGGTTGAAGTGTAAGGCCCCCAGGGCCATTGAGGTACTTGTCCTGACTTGCTTGTGCCTTAGGCTGCCTCAAAGCCTTAGTAAGTACATACAGGAGGAAAAGATAAGAGAAAGAAATATCAGGCAGGAAGGGGATGAAGCTTTTCCAAATTGGGTGCCTCCTATCTGCGATATGATTTCCTTTGTGGACAGGTGAGCCCCCAATTCCAGGTGCCCCCTTACCTGCCAATAATGGCCTCTTTATAGCTCTGATGAGGTGTATTTGCTAACCACCATGTCCTAAACAGCAACTGACTGATGTGAGTAGAGAGGCCCTGTCCTGCCCTTCTGAGGACTAGTGTAGGTGAGACTAGGAACACCCACAGAAGAATACACCACCCTCCACAGCCCACCCAGGCAGGTCCAAGAACATTCCTTCACTATTTCCAAAGGATCTGGTAAGCAACTGGTCCCATTAGGAGCCTCATCCTGTTACTGGTAGGACCTACCTTGACCTGTCCCTGAGTCAGATATAGAGATGGGGACCAGTTGTTGAGGGGCTGGATGAGGCTCAGAACTGGGTCCCAGAAAAAAAAAATTTCTTTCTCTAGAAGTGAGTTACCAAAGGATTTCAAAGGGGAATTCTCTCACTAGGCTCTGTGAAATCCTGTCCCTTAACTTGGCAACCCAAGGCCTTATCACAATAGAAGGACCTGGATTCTTTCACCTGACCTCAGTAGAGATGTAGAAGAGAAGGCAACAGATGGACATTTCTGACAAGCAGACAGGAGGCAGAACTTTTCATTGGATCACCCTTTTATTACCAACATTGGCTCTGGATAGAGGCCTTAGGCATAGCATATCATCCCCCCCCCCCCCCCCCCCCCGCAGGTGCAAATTCATGAACACTGTGCACTGGGGCGTTAGGCCATACTCCCCCAGTGGCTGTTTGTCTTCCATGTGCCTTCCCTCAAAGCTCAGCCAAAATTGGTCTTCCTGTACTTGCTCCTGCTGGGACACCTGCCTCTTAAGCTCTGCCACCGTCTGTGTCAGCCGGACTTCATAGATACTGCTGCGGCCCCTTTCATTCCTCACCAGGATGTTCAGAGGGTTGTTACAATTCTGTACCATCAGCATGACTGTACTGCCAGGGCACAGGCCCTGGCTGATGAGGGTAACGCCCTCTTGTAGCTTCTCACCACTTGGGTGGACCAGGCGGTGCTGGAAAGCTGGCACACCAGTCTTCTGGGCAATCTGCCTCTTCAGTTCTGACACCGTCATGGAGTTAGTCAGGGACACCAGGAACTCTTCACCCCCCAGCATCTTCACCTTCAGGTCCCGGGTCTGCAGGCATCACATGGGTTTAGCAGTGGTTCTCAACCTTTCTAACGCTGTGACCCTTTAAAACAGTTCTCATGGTGTGGTGACCCCCAACCACAAAATTATTTTCCTTGCTGCTTCATAACTAATTTTGCTACTGTTATGAGTCGTAGTGTGAATATCTGATATGCAGGATCTCTGATATGCAATTCCTGTGAAAGGGCTGTTTGACCCCAATTGGGGTCTCGATCCACAGGTGAGAACTATTAGTTTAGAGACTCTTCTGGCACCGTTACTGGGAGTTACTCCATCCAAAGCACTGGTCATAGGACCAGTTCCCATACCCCACCCCCACCCTCTCCTCCATCAAAGGAGACCATCCAGGTATGGGGATGATACAGTTCTAGAGGGCCAGCCTCCTACAACCATCATGTTGTTTCAGTTCACCCACCAAGATATCCTTCTGGGTCCAGCCCTAAGGGATCTAGGACTGGTAGCTGAGCAAACAAGGAACCTAGTCCCTCCCTAGTAGTGATCTTTGAGCAGCTGTATTCTGTTTCCACACTGTGACAATTCTGCATCTGGAAGACCCTATCAAAGAATGGAGGAAAGTCAGCTAGAATGGAATCCATCTGCCTCTGCCCCAAATTGGACTCACCATGGCTGTAGGCTTTAGCACTAGGTCCCCTGCAGGAACTGAGGAGTTTGCTTGTCTCAGCTTCTAGCTGCTCTCTCTCACAGCCAGAGGCTGGGTCCTCTCTCTTAAGTGTGTGAGCTGTGGGTGTCAAGAGGCGGAGTCTCCAGAAGTCAGAGCTGCCTTCTGTTTCAGTTTCTTTTTCCCAAGGCATACATTCAATGAGTGGGAAAAACAAAACTGAATGAAAAGAAACTAGCTGGGAAGGAAAGAGACTGGCTCTCGGGGGTCAAGGCCACAATGAGGCCTGTGTACTCTGAAACTCTCTAAATATTCAGCATTTCAGGTCCTTTACAAGGCATGTAGAAGGCATAACAGGAACTAATAATAGGAAACTTATTTTTCATTTATCAACTTGGAAATTAGTTATCTTGGAAAAAGTCACAATAATTAATTCAGAAGTTGCACAAAGTAATGGCAATCAGAACTGCCCAAAGACAGTTATTAGTTTAGGACAATAGTTATTGGGCAGGAGGTAGGGGTTATGGGAAGCATTTTGTTGTTTTTGTTGTTGTTTTCAGACAGGGTTTCTCTATGTTGCCCTGGGTGTCCTGGAACTTGCTCTGTAGACCAGGCCGGCCTCAAACTCACAGAGATCTGCCTCCTGAGTGCTGGGATTAAAGGCATGTGCTGCAGCCACCACCACCACCCGGCTAGTAGGAAGTATTTCTATCCTAGAAGGGTTTATTAAGACCTTATTGCTTACATAAAGAGGCATTGATTGAGTCAGATGGGTTTGTTTTTGAGATAGTCTTGCTGTGCAGTCCATGCTGGCTTCAAACTCACTATGAAACTGGCCTTAAACTGATCCTCCTGTCTTTCCTGCCCAAATTCTGAGATTACAGTCATGTATTATCTGTGCTGATTTCTGCACTGCTGGGGATGGAACCCAGAACTTCATGCATGCTAAGTAAGTACTTGAACAACTGAGTTATATACTTAGTCCTCAGATTTTTTTAAGGTTTATTTTTAATTATGTGGATATGGGGTGGGGGTTTGTATGTGCATATGTGTGGTGATATTGTGTTCCCCAAAATATTGTGCACCCTAATAAACTTATCTGGGGTCAGAGAACAGAACAGCCATAATATTAAACATAGAGGTTAGGCAGTGGTAGCACACGCCTTTAATGCTAGCCTTCTGGAGGCAGAGATCCATCTGGATCTCTGTAAGTTTAAAGCCATACTGGCAACAGCCAGGCATGGTGACTCATACCTTTAATCCCAGGAAGTGAGCCTTTAATCCCAGGAAGTGATGGCAGGAGGCAGAAAGGTATATAAGGCATGAGGACCAGGAACTAGAGTTCGTTAAGCTTTTAGGCTTTTGAGCAGCACAGTTCAGCTGAGAGCCATCCCGACTGAGGAAACAGGATCAGCTGAGGAATTGGTGAGTTGAGGAAGCTGTGGCTTGCTCTGCTTCTCTGATCTTCCAGCATTCACCCCAATACCTGGCCCTGGGTTTGTTCTTTATTAATAAGACCAGTTAAGATTCCTGCTACACATATGTGAGTACAGGTACCCTTGGAGTCTAGAAGAAGGAATCGGATATATAAATATTGTTCATGTATTTATTTTGCATGTATGTATGAATATATGTGCTTGTACATGTGGAGGTCAGAGATTAATGTTGAGTGTCTTCTTCAATCATTTTCTACATAGTCATCTCCCCAGCCCAATATCAAACATTTTTAAAGGAGTAGGATCTTACTTTTCTTTCTAATGACTATATGAACAAAGACAACCCATTTCACAAGTAAATTTTAACCATCAGTTTGGCAACCAGAGAGGGGATGGGGTTCCTGAGGCCTCTTTCTTCTATGTCCCCCTGTAGCTTGAGTTTTCCTGCCTGGCCCACAGTCAGGACAAATCTTTGTCACCCGCCAGTCCCACAGCCGCTCAGACCCAACCAAGTAAACACAGAGACTTATATTGCTTACAAACTGTATGGCCGTGGCAGGCTTCTTGCTAACTGTTCTTATAGCTTAAATTAATCCATTTTCATAAATCTATACCTTGCCACATGGCTCGTGGCTTACCAGCATCTTCACATGCTGCTTGTCATCTTGGCGGCTGGCAGTGTCTCTCTGACTCAGCCTTCCACTTCCCAACTTTATTCTCCTCCTTGTCCCGCCTATACTTTCTGCCTAGCCAATGGCCAATCAGTGTTTTATTTATTGACCAATCAGAGCAACACATTTGCCATACAGCACATCCCACAGCATATCCCCACCCCACCCCCACTTGTCTGGTCTCTGCAGGAGGCAGAGGTCAGAGGTATTCCAGATAGACACCTTCCTAAGGCTCAGCATAAGCCCACAGCTGAGAATGTGACAGCCCAGCCTTGCTGTCAACCCAAGGCATGGGTGTGTGTGTTGGGGGGGGGGGGGTCGGCATGTTAGACATCTGTTTGCCACCCATCTCCAGTCCTAGCAAGAGTGGCTCTCGAGGTATAGTTCAGCACTGGGATAATAAAAGGGCTTCCTAGAGCTGAGAAGAATTCTTTTAGGTATAAACTAGGACCAGACTTAGGATTGGCCTCAGAGAAAGAGAGATAGCTTCTGGGAAGGTACCTAGGTATGGTCTTTTTCAAGGATTTTGGAACAGGCATTGGTTAGAGGCCACCTTCCAGTCATCAACCTCACACACTAGGTGGATGAAAACTTTTTCCCCCCAGCACCAGCTGGCTTACTCTGTTATCCAGAAAAGCTCCTCAAGGGCCCTGTCCTGCAATCCCTAGAGTTTCCCTTCCATTCCTTCTCTTCTTCACTGTGTTCCCTTTCTAGAATACTCTGGGAGTGTCATTCCCTCTACCTGGCCTCTTGAAAGTTTCCTTCTCTCTGAAGAACCAATTGTTGAAGGCTTTGGAACCACCAAATAGAAGTGGCATTTTCTCTAACCCAACAAACTAGTCACTTACTTTCTGTGGCTTGCTAAGACAGATTTGAAACAGAAGTAGGGTGTCTAGCCCCCTGTGGTCTTAGGCCACCACCATTGAATGAATATATGCAGGCAGCTGCCAGGCTATTCTGTGATTGAGAACCCGAGTTTTGTAATATCTGTATGCCCTGCAGTGTAACTCAGAATAAAAACAATAGCAACCATGAAAACAATAATGGCCCTGTTTTTCTTGTTCTCCTTTGGAAAAAAAAAAAAAACAAAGATTTTAAATTTTTAAATTTTTTTTTTTGGGGGGGGGTGTGTTTTGAGGCAGTATGTCACTCACCATGTAGCTCCGGCTGTCCTACAACTCACTCTGTAGACCAGGCTGGCCTTGGACTCACAGAAATCTGCTTGCCTCTGTCTCCTGAGAGCTGGGATTAAAGGCACATGCAACTATACCCAGCTGGTCCTCATTTTTTTTTAGTTCTTTGCTGGACTTAGTTACCAGTGGGCTGATCCAGAATATATCATTAACTCCATGACATCATCCCATCTGGTTTGTCACCACTGACAGACATCTTTATCCTTACGTTGCATGAAGTTGTCCTTCCACTTGCCCTGCAGTATCAGATAGCTAACGTGGACCAGCTGACCCCCCCCCCACTAGTCTCAGTGGCTGGTGTTGCTTCATCTTTCTACCAAAGTTTGTTCCTAGGCCTCTGTGTTTCAGGCTCCTTGTTGGAAACTGCATGGCTCATGAGCAAATGGTGTTCAGTTGAGCAGACAAGGGGCAGACTTGAAACTGCTCGAGCCTTGGATGGGACCTCGAGGAGACACAATGGGTCCAGGCTTCGCAGTCCTGAAAATCTGTCTTTTAGCCTTTGGAGAAATTTCCTTCTGGATTTCCTACGAGGTGATTATGAACTGCATCCCATATCCACCGTACTTCCTCTCCAAAGGGAAATAAGCCAGAAGCCTCCACCCGGCTCACTACTTCGATTCCCTAACCAGAGGGCCCCTTTTGGTGCTCTGTCCTCATGCTAGTGGACTTTGGCCTCCGGTCCTGAGGGTGAGGATGGGGAGGTGTGTTTGGGGGGGGAGCTGCACATAACAGCAAGAGGGGGCGGGCCCACAGGCCAGGCCGAAGGCTGGCCCTCCCATTGGCTGAGAGGAGTGTGGGAACTGAAGCCAAGTAGGATTCACAGGCCCCGCAGCTCCACTGCTTTTTTAAAGCCCTCAATGCACAGGCTCGAGGTTCAAGTTTGTAGGAGTGCACCAACTCTGCACTCACTAGACCGCCTGGTGCATTTTGCCGGTGGACGTTTCAGGGAAGCCGAGCACTTCACCACTCGCAGGAGCTCTGACCAGCCCTAGCTGGACCCCAGACAAGTCGGACAACGCATCCGAAAACTGCAAGGTTGAGAGAGGGACAATGAAACACCAGACTCAGCCGCTGCTCCACCTAACAGTCTTCCAAGCTGGTCATGGAGAAGTGGCGGCTAGCACGCATTAATGAGAGTCTGGTTCGGCTCCAAACCATCATTCTGAAGGCGCACGGGAAGGATGTGAGCCGGACTGGGATGAAGCACTCGAAGGGTCTCCAGTTCACAGGGCTTACTGTGGCCCTCAGATCCTAAGACCCAGAGTATAGGATACTTCTGGCTTGCCACCCATTCTGTGTTCCTGTCTCCAGAGCTCCCAGCACACAAAACTGGAGACAGCTGACATCCTGGAGATGACCGTGAGACATCTTCAGATCCTACACGGCCCAGTGACAGGTGGGGTGTGGGTGACACTATGTGGAGGTGAGAGGTGTGTAGGATCACCACCGCAAGAACTGATTCCTGCTTTTGGTGCTGCAGCAGCGGCACTGCGCCGACCCTGAGATCCTGGGCAAGTACTGGGCTGTTTTGAAAAAGTGCCTCTTTGAGATGAACTTTTTCCTGGCTAGCTGTGAGGGTGTCCCAGCGGGCGTGTGCCCCCACTTACTTGGCCACCTGGTGGCCTGCCTGCACCAGCTAGAACTCAGGCGTAGTGCTGCATCGCTGTTTCCAGCCTCAGAAGCTGAGGCACCTAAGGTACCCACGTGGCTCCCTGCTGCTGTCACTCCATGGAGCTCCTCTCCGCGTTGCTAACTCTGGTAACCTCCTGTTGCTTTCGGAACAGGTCCTCAGGGCTATGACTGATCCTGGAGGTTGTGGTGGGGATGAAGTGTGGTCTGTCCTAGGGCTGCATGCAGGCTTGACACCTAGACTGTACCAGAGAATATTTACAGAGTTGTGTTGTGGTTTTATTTTGTTTCATCTTGTGAACGGTGAGTTCAGTAGTACCACTTCCTAGTTCCAGCAGCCCTGACCCAGTTCATTTCTCAAGCCCCACTCACTGCAAGACTGCCCTTCATCCAGCTTGGGCATGTATGAACGTACCCCTGGTACTCCAGGGTTAGCTTTGCTTTGTTCAGTGGTGGAGTCTGCAACACCCCTTCAGATATAATAGGTGCTCCAAGAGGGGCAGCCGGGAAGGTGACAGTTACCAAGCTTTGCAGAATGTATCTCAGTGAGGGAAGGTGGTTGGGGAAAAGGTTTTTTTTCCTAATTAAAAAAAAAAAAGTGTGTGTGTGTGTGTGTGTGTGTGTGTGTGTGTGTGTTATGCATGTGAGTGTGCTAGTATGTAGCCATGGGCACACATACAGAAGACAGAGTAAGACATTGGATGTCTTCTATGGTTCTCTGGATTATTGCCTTAAGACAGGATCTCTCATTGAACTGAAAGGTGGTCCTCTTTGCTAGGCTGTCTGGCCTTTGAGCTCTCAGAATATATCAATCCCTGTCCCCCAATCCCCGGGCTGGGGTTTCAGGCAGTGTAGTAATGTCTGACTTTTTTTTTTTTTTTTTTTTGGTTTTTCAAGACAGGGTTTCTCTGTGTAGCTTTGCGCCTTTCCTGGAACTCGCTTTGGAGACCAGGCTGGCCTTGAACTCACAGAGATCTGCCTGCCTCTGCCTCCCGAGTGCTGGGATTAAAGGCGTGCGCCACCACTGCCCGGCCATGTCTGACTTATTACATAGGTGTTAGGAGTTTGAATTCAGTTCCCCTTGCTTGTAGAACAAGCACTCTTACTAACCATCTCCTTAGCCCTGGTACTACTGGACATGGTGGCACATGCTTGGGAGGCAGAGGCAGATATGATTTTGAGGTCAGCTTGGTCTACATAGTGAGTTTTAGGTCAGGGAGTTCCAGGCCAGCCAGAGATACACAGTGAGACCTGTCTTTAAAAAAAAAAAAAAAAGTAATTTTTTCACTCTTCTCTAGACCCTGGAAGGTGATCTGTGTGAAGTTGTGCTGCACTTGGGGGAGGGTTGACTTCTTCTGCCTTGAAACCTCAATTTTGGCTATTTGGATTCTGTTTTATTCTCATGGTTAAGCACAAAGATATCAGCTTCTAACCAGGTTGAGCTCCCCCTCACCCAGCTTAAGTTCCCCTACCTGCAACACAGGTAGGGGTCCTTGGCATGACAGCCTGTCAAGGACACCTCATTCCTAGACTCAAGAGAGACTCTTGAGGTGTCAAGGACTTGCTGCACACCTAGTGGAAGAGGATTGGGGTTCTTCTCTGTGTTATCCTGATCAATGGCATCTGGATGCTACTGAGGCTAAGAGGCACCAAGCTAGAATGCATTGGAAACTCACCCTCACTTCACAAATTCACCATTCTACTGTTCGTGCCTCTTCTGCCCTCAGAGTTGCTACTGAGTGCTATGATTTCCTTGTGTAAGGGGATGGCTGCCATCACAAGTTCAGCCTGCAGAGTATCTTGTGAGCCACATGGGAGCTGCATCCAGGCTACCATGAAGTAAGCCAAGTAACTCTACTACAGGTTGATCTACCAGCTCCTCCAATAGGCTATCTCTGGATCTTCTTGTGACGAACTGTACACACCCGGGAGAAATTGCTAAGTCTTTGCTCAACTTGTCACCCCTGCTTGCCCTACTGCTTTCCATCTTCCTGAATTTCTATGGGCTGGAGCCAGTGATCCTGAACGGTAGGTACCATGTGGAATAGGTGTTGTACCCTTCAGACCTGAGGGAAGGGGGACAATGGTACTAAGGAACTAAGTGGAAGATCTTCTTGAAAGAAAAGTCAGTGTGGGAGGTGGGAACTGCTCAGTACAGAAGGGAAGGGGGAGGTGAGGGCCTGCTTGGATCAAGGCCTCACCTTGTGGTGTAGTTTTTCCTGTGTGCCTCCTGGACCTGCAGCTGGTCAGACCCAAATAAACACACAGAGGCTTATATTAATTGTAACTGCTTGGCCATTAGCTCAGGCTTATTACTGACTAGCTCTTATACTTAAATTCAGCCCATTTTTGTTAATCTATATGTTGCCACATGTTCTGTGGCTTTACTGTGTGCCATTACATGCTGCTTTCTGGATGGCTGACTGGCATCTCCTGACTCTGCTCTTCCTCTTCCCAGCATTCCTTTAGTCTGCTTGCCCTGCCTATACTTCCTGCCTGGCTACTGGCCAATCAGCATTTTGTTAAACCAGTGCACAAAAGCATTATCCCTCAGCATTTCCCTTTTTCTGTCTAAACAAAAATGAAGGTTTTAATTTTAACATAGTAAAATTACATGTAATAGAACAGTTATCAAGCAGTAATTACAGTTATAATATCTAGTCTATTTGTATTTGGAAAAATTAAAGAAAATATTCTATCTATCCTGTATTTGTGAGTCTAAAGTTTCATATCTAATTTATCTTTTATCATAATCAAGGAAAATTACAATTATAACTATCTAGTCTTCAACTACATCAAAGACCCCAGGAGGATATAATATTACCTAAGTATACAGGAAGAACATTGTAAGCAACTTCCAAAAATCTAGACTGAAAGAGACAGCTGGCTACCTGGACAGTCATCCAAAATTCCTCTGCAACATTGGGGCATCCATCTTCAGCCTGTAGGCCTAGTCTCTCAGTCATGTTTTCCTGTGTCCTGTAGAATGTCTGGCATTCTTCTTCTGCAAAGCAGGAACCTGAAGGACCATTTCATCTTGCAAAGTTCAGTGGTCACCTTCCAACGGGTTCTGCTTGTCCAGTTTATATAACATTTTGTCAAGCAGTCCAGGCAAGAACAGTCTCTTGCCCAAAAGGCAAATGCCCCCAAAACAAAAAACCAAACCAAACCAAACAAACAAACAAAAAAAGGAGTTTCAATCAGGTATGGTGGTGCACACCTTTGATCCCAGAACTTGAAAGGAAGAGGCAGGAAGATCTCTGTGAGTCTGAGGCCAGCCTGGTCTATATAGTGAGCTCCAAGACAGGCAGGACCACATACAGAGGCCCTGTTTCAAAGAAACAAACAAACAAGTAGGAGTTTTAGCTGGGCGTGCTGGGACACACATTTAATTCTAGCACTTGGGAGGTGGAGGCAGGTGGATCTCTGTAAACCTAGTCCACTTATTGAGTTCCAGGCTAGCCTGAGCTATATTGTGAAACTGTGTCTAAGAAGAAGAAGAGGAGGAGAAGGAGGAAGAAGAGGAAGAAGAAGACAGTAAGAGCTACAACTATGGGTGGTAGCACACACATTTGTTTGTTTATCTTGGCTTTTTTGAGACAGGGTCTCACTATGTAGCTCTGGCTTTTCTGGAACTCACGATGTAGACCAGGCTGGCTTCAAACTCACAGAGGTCATCCTGAAGAGACACCAGCCCACTTGAGCATGTGGCTCTGGCAGGCCATGCCCTTCTCCCTGTTCCCTCTGCCTTGCTAAAAACCATTAGATTATACCCCCAAAGCCAGCCAAAAAGGTCTATTTTCTTATTTGGCCACTTCTTCCTGAGGCTGACTACCAAAGTCCAGCAATCAGAAGCCCCCTTTGGCTCACCTAATTAACATGCCCAGTTAAAAATTAAACACCTTGCTGGTGGTACACACCTTTAATCACAACACTCAGGAGGCAGAGGCAGGTGGATCTCTGTGAGTTCGAGGCCAGCCTGGTCTACAGAGGGAGTCCAAGAGAGCCAGAACTGCTTCACAGAGAAACCCTGTCTCAGAAAACAAAATTTAAACACCTCATCCTAATTTGGGGTTTCCCGGTTTATAACTGCCATTTGCCTGTGTGCTACATCCGTTTCCCCTCTATCCAGAGACAGTTCTTTGTCCCCTTCCCCCTTTCCCTTGTCCCTTTCCTCTTCTCCCTCATCCCCTATCTCCTTTACCACCACATTCCAGCCCATCATAACACAGCCTTCCTCTTCTCCTCCTCTTAAAAATGACACCTGCAAGGTAATTTGCTGCTGTTTTTTCTGCCTGAGTCCGAAAGCAGACTTTTCTTTTCTGCTTAATAAAGGATCGCTCTGTGAAAATAGGTGTTTGGGTGTGGTTTGTGCCTAATCCGGTGTCTAGAAGGGAGTCTCCCCCAGTGCAAGAGTTCCCTTCACTTCCTGCCTCTACCTCCCAGGCGCTAAGAAAAGTCTGCACCACAATACTTGTATTTAACGGCACACATTTGTAATCCTAGTACTTAGGAGGCTGATGCAGGAGACACTCAGTTCTGAGGCTAGCTTTGACCATATAGCAGACCTTGACTCTGATTAAACCAACCAACCAACAAACAAATAAATAAATAAATCTGCTTTCAAAAATATATTTTTAAAAAATGAAAGAAACTATAGACTAGGGAAAAAATTACAAACCACATATATGGTGCTATAGTTTAGGTCTGAAATATGTTCTAAAGTCTCTTTTACCTGTGTTGACTTTATCCCCCTGACTGGCACTACTGAAAGGTAGTGAAACCTTTAAGAGTGGGCCACTATTGTATAACAGTTTCCTTCTAGATCAAAACATTCTCGGTTGTTCAGGGAAGATCTTTAAACAGGAAGTTAAACAACTCAAAATAGCTTCAGGAAGTCTCTAAAACTGATCAGATTTAGTAGGCCAGAGTAAGCAATCAAAGCTGAGTCTTCCTCAGAGGTGGCAGAGCCAAGTTGCAAATAAGACGCTCAGCAAACTGAGCTGCAAAAGAAGTCTCTCGTTGCAGAGAAAATCCAGATGAGCCAAGCTGCAGTGACTCTGAGAAGCAGCAGAAACCAGTCAAGCTGTTTGGAAGAGATTTAGACCATCTGAGGCACCTGGAAAAGA